CCTGGGCAGGCCCAGGCTGGGGCTGCTCCTGGGCAGGCCAGGGTCTGCTGCCTGGGCAGGCCAGGCTGGGGCCATGCCTGGGGCAGGCCTCAGGCTGGGCCATGTTCTGGGCAGGTTAGGTCAGTCATGCTCTGGGCAGGTTAGGGCTGGGTCATGTCTTGGGCAGGTCAGGCTGGGCCATGCCAGGGCAGGCCAGGCTGGGCTCATGCCTGGGCAGGTTCAGGCCGGGCCATGCCTGGGCAGGCCCAGGGGCCGGGGCCATGCCTGGGCAGGGGTCAGGCTGGCAAGGCCTGGGGCAGGCCAGGGGCCGGGGCTTGCCCAGCAGGTCAGGCCGGGGTCATGCCTGGGCAGGCCAGCTGGGTCATGCCTGGGCAGGCGGCAGGCTGGGCCATGCCTGGGCAGGCCAGGGTTGCCATGCCTGGGCAGGCCAGGCTGGGTCATGCCTGGGCAGGCCAGGCTGGGCCATGCCTGGGCAGGCCAGCTGGGCTCATGCTTGGGCAGGCCAGGCTGGGCTATGCCTGGGCAGGTCAGGGCTGGGCTAGGCCAAGTTACTGTAGCAATACAGGCTGGGCATTAGGCACATGTCTGGGGCATAACATGGGCCATGCCTGGGCAGGCTCAGGGTCAACATGCCCAGGCAGCAACAGGTCAACAAGCCTGGGGCAGGGCTGGGTCACAGGCCAGCCTACAGGTCATCAAGGCCAGGCACAGGCTGGGTCTGGGGCACGTCTGGGCCAGGTCACATAGCTGCTATGCCCACAACAGGCCAGCAGGCAGGTCAACATGCCTGGGCTATGTCAGGTCATGCCGGGCAGGCTCAGGCCACACATGCCCTGCTAGGCTAGGCCAACATGCCGGCAGCATCAGGTCAACATGCCTGGGCAGGCCAGGCCGGGGTCATGCCCAGGAGGCCAGGCTGGCCATGCCTGGGCAGGCCAGGGCCGTCATGCCGGGCAGGCCAGGCTGGGTCATGCCAGGCAGGCTCAGGTCATCATGTGGGCAGGCCAGGGCTCTCCAAGACCAGGCCGGGCTACGCCTGGGCACTGGGTCAAAGTGTTATGCTCAGGCTGGGCCATGCCTAGGCAGGCTCAGGTTGGCCAAGGCTCTGGGCAGGTTAGGGTCATTACACCTGGGGCAGCCAGGCTCGGTCATGCCAGGAGCCAGGCCAACATGCTCAGGCAGGCCTGTGGGCCATACTGGGCAGGTCAGGCTGGGCCATGCCCAGCAGGGGTCAGGCTGGCCATGCCAGGCAGCATCAGGCTGGGCCACAGGGCAGGCCAGGCTGGGTCATGCCTGGGCAGGCCAGGCTGGGCCATGCCTGGGCAGGCCAGGCTGGGCCATGCCAGGCAGGCCAGGCTGGGCCATGCCTGGGCAGGCTCAGGGCCGGGTCATGCCTGGGGCAGGCCAGGCCAGTCATGTCAGGGCAGGCCAGGCTGGGCCATGCCTGGGCAGGTCAGGCTGGCCATGCCAGGCAGGTCAGGGCTGGGCCATGCCTTGGGCAGGTCAGGGGTCTATGCCTGGGCAGGCCAGGTCAGTCATGCTCCAGGCAGGCTCAGGCCGGGCTCAAGGCCTGGGGCAGGCCAGGCTGGGCCATGCCAGGCAGGCTCAGGGCAGTCAAGGCCTGGGCAGGCCAGGCCGGGGTCAATGCCTGGGCAGGCCAGGCTGGGGTCACACCTGGGCAGGTCAGGCCTGGGCTCATGCTCTGGGCAGGCCAGGTCAACATGTGCCTGGGGTGGAGGCCTGCACAACAAGGCCTGGGGCAGGTCAGGCTGGGCCTGTCTGGGCAGGCCAGGGCTGGGCTGTCTGGGCAGGCCAGGTCAACATGCCCAACAGGTCAGGCTGGGCTCACATCTGGGCGCAGGCCAGGGCTGGGCCATGCCCTGGGCAGGCCAGGCTGGGTCAAGGCCTGGGCAGGCCAGGCTGGGCCATGCCAGGCAGGCCAGGCCGGGCTCATGCCCACAGGTCAGGGCTGGGCCATGCCTGGGCAGGCCAGGCTGGGCCATGCCTGGGCAGGCCAGGGGTCAATGCCCGGGGCAGGCCAGGCTGGGCCATGTTAGCAGGTCAGGCTGGGCTGCATGCCTGGGCAGGCCAGGCTGGGCTCATGCCTGGGCAGGCTAGGCTGGGCCATGCCTGGGCAGGTCAGGCTGGGCCATGCCGGCAGGCCAGGGGTCAGGCTTCATGCCTGGGGCAGGTCAGGCTGCCTAGCAGGTCAATATGCCTGGGCAGGCCAGGCTGGGCCATGCTCTGGGCAGGTTAGGTCAGTCATGCCTGGGCAGGTCAGCTGGGCTGGCGTCAGGCAGGCCAGGTCAACATGCCTGGGCAGGCTCAGGCTGGGCCATGTCAGGGCAGGTCAGGCTGTCATGCCTGGGCAGGCTAGGGCTGTCATGCCTGGGCAGGCCAGGCTGGGCCATGCCTGGGCAGGCTTAGGTTGGCCATGGGGTTTGGGCAGGTTAGGGTTGGCCATGTTAGGCAGGCCAGGTCATGTATGCTCTGGGCAGGTTAGGGCTGGGTCATGCTAGGCAGGTTGTGGCTGGGCCATGTCTGCAGCAGGGGTCACACGCCAGGCAGACAGGGTCAACACGTCTGGGGCAGGCCAGGGTCAACAGCCAAGAGGCTCAGGTCAACACAGGGCAGGTCAGGTCAACACCTGGGGCAGCTCCAGGTCACACAGGCAGGCCAGGCTGGCCTGGGCCAGGCCCAAGCAGGCCAGGGTCGGGGCATGTCCAGGCAGGCCAGTGTCAACAAGGTCTGGGCAGACAATAGGTCAGTCATGTCTTGGGCAGGCTAGGGTCAATCATGCCTGGGCAGGCCAGGCCAACATGCGAGGCTGGTCAGGCTGGGCCATGCCTGGGCATCAGGCTGGCCAAGCCAGGCACAGGCTGCACAGTCTGGGCAGGTCAGGGGCCGGGCCATGCCTGGGCAGGTCAGGCCGGGCCATGCCTGGGCAGGCCAGGCTGGGCCATGCTCCAAGCAGGCCAGGCTGGGCCATGCCCAGGCAGGCCAGTGGCTGGGCTGCCTGGGCAGGCCAGGGCCATCACAGGCAGGTCAGGCCAGCCATGCCTGGGCAGGCTCAGGCTGGGCTCATGCTGTGCTAAGGGCAGCCCAGGCAGTTCAGGCAGCCATGCCCAGGAGGCCAGGTCGGCGCACCAAGAGGCCACAGGGCCAGGCACGCCTGGGCATACCCAGGCAGCTGCCTGGGGCTACAGCATGCGCCTGGGCAGGCCCAGGCCAGGCCCATCAGGCCTGGGTCATGCCTGGGCAGGCCAGGCTGGGCTACGCCAGGCAGGGCCAGGCTCTGCGTTAGGCAGTAAGCCAGGCCGTGCGTTTGGGCAGGCCAGGCTGGGCTTGCATGGGCAGTAAGCGCCTGGTGCCTGGGCAGGTTAGGTCATAGTCGCAAGAGGCCAGGCTGCAGCGCTTTAGGGGCAGGTTAAGCCGGGTTGGCGACTGCCAGGGCAGGCCGGGGTTGACAACTTCCGGCAGTCAAATGGTCATGCCTGGGGCAGGTCAGGGCCGATCATGCCTGGGCAGGATCAGGTTGGCTATGCCTGGGCAGTGAAAGGCTGGGCTACATTTGGGCAGGCTAGGCGGGCTATGCTCTGGGCAGGTTAGGCCGGCTATGTCAGGGCAGGCCAGGTCAGTCGCTGCAGAAAGGCGTTGGGTTGCCGTTTGGGCAGCAGGTTGGGGGCCGGGTTATATCGAGCAGGCCAGTGCTGTCAGGCGTTTTAGCAGGTTAGCTGGCCATGTTCAGCAGGCCAGGTTAAGCCATATTTGCAGGCCAGGCTTGGGCCGGCGGTTAGGCGCAGGCCAATGCATTTGGGCAGTGACAGTCACCATGGCTCGCAGGTCAGGCTGGGTTAAGGTTGGGCAGGTTGTCAATGTTATTGGGCAGGATAGGTTGGCTGGCGTCAGTATAAGCAGGTTGGGGCTGGCGATGGGTGCAGGGCTAGGCAAAGCTGGGTCATGCCTGGGCAGGCCAGGCTGGCCCGCGTTGAAGCAGGCCAGCCGGGTTACGCCTGGGCAGGCCAGGCTGGGGGCTACGTTGCGGCAACAGGCTGGGTTACGCCGGGCAGGTCAGGGCTGGCTGGCGTTGCCTGGGGCAGGTGTCAGCTGCGTCTGGGCAGGCTAGGGCGCTGCGGCTTCAAGAGCCTGGCCAGGCTGGGGTAGGCGTCTGGGCAGCAGGTCAGCCGGCGCCTGCAGGTTAGGTTGGCCATAGGCTGGTATAAATAGGTTGGGTTATGCCTAAAAGCAGGCTAGGTCAGCTGCCTGGGCAGCCAGGCTGGGGTACTGGGGCAGGTTAGGCAGCCGCCAAATGCCTGGGCAGGCTAGGCTGGGCCACATTTAGGGCGAGGTAAGGGCTGGGCCGATACTTCAGGAGGCCAGGCTGGGCTGGCGTTTGGGCAGGCTAGGTTGGGGCTATGTTTGGGCAGGCTAGGGTTGCGTTCCTGGGCAGTAACAGGCTGGCTATGTTTGGCAGGTTAGGTTGCTCATGTCTTCAGGTTGCGTTTTAGTCGCACATGCCTGGGCAGGTTAGGGAGCTGGCTGCCTGTTGTTAAGCCAGGCTGGTCATGCCTGGGCGCGCTGGTCAATGCCAGGGGCAAATAGGTCAGCCAAGCTTGAGGCGGTTGAAATGGGTAGCCATGTGCCTGGGGCAGTACAGGCTGGGTTGCTGCAGGCTTAGCTGGCTGGCGTTTGGGCAGGTTAGGGCTGGCGTTTGGGCAGGCTAGGCTGGGTTACATTTGGGAGCCAGGCTAGGCGTTGGGCATAAGGCTGTCAGTTGGGCAGGCTGAGGCCGTTTGGGCAGGTTAGGCTGGGTCAGTTTCAGCAGGTTTAGAAGCTGGTTACGTTTTGGCAGGTTAGGTTGGGACATTTGCAGGTTAGGCTTGGGTTTGCCAGGCAGGTTAGGCTGGGTTGCGTCAGGGCAGGTTAGGCTGGGGCTGGCGTTAGGGCAGGCCAGGCTGGCCATACCATGCTCAGCTGAGGCTGGCGTTCAGGCTGCTTTGCAAGGCAGGTTAGTGGCTGGCTAGGGAGCAGGCTAGGCTGGCCATGCTGCGGGCAGGCTAGGTTGGCGTTAGGCAAAGCAGGCTGGGTCATATCTTGGGCAGGTTAGGCTGGGGCCATGCCTGGGCAGGCCAGGCTGGGCTGTTGGGCAGGCCAGGCTGGGCCGCTCAGGCAGTGCCAGCCAGGCTGGCTGCCTGGGCAGGCTAGGTCAAATGCCTGGGCAGGCCAGGCTGGGCTATGCTTGGGCAGGCTAGGTCGGGCTATGCTCAAGCAGGCTGGCGTGCCGGGCGCCAGGCGGTACAGGGGCTGGCGTCAGCAGGTTGTTTGGGTCAGGCGGCCAGGCTGGGCTTGCGCTCGGCAGGCCAGGCCGGTCATGCTAGGGCAGGCCAGGCTGGGTTAATGCCTGCAGGCCAGGGTAGCCTGCCCAAAGTGCGCTGGGGCAGGGGCTGCGCCAGCAGGTCAGGCCGGGGTCATGCCTGGGCAGGCCAGGGTTGGCCATGCCCAGCAGGTCGGCCGGGTTATGCCTGGGCAAGGAAGCCGGGCTGGCATGCCTGGGCAGTGTCAGGCTGGCTGGCGCCAGGCAAGTCAGGTCAGTTGCCGCTAGCGCAGGTTAGCTGCCGATGCCCGCAGGTCAGGTCAGTCATGTTAGGCAGGTTAGGTCATTACATTTCGCAGTCAGGTTATGCTGGGCAGGCTATGGCTGGCACAGGCAGTAGCAGGCCATAGCCTGGGCAGTTGCGTCAGCGCCAGCAGGCCAGGCTGGGGCTGGCGTTAGGCAGGCGTCATATTTGGGCAGGTTGTGGCCATATTCGCAGGCCAGCGTTACACCAAGCAGGTCAGGTTCGCTAGGCGTTTCTGGGCAGGTTAGGCCGGCTGGCGCTCGGGGCAGGCTAGGCTGGGCTATGCCTGGGCACAGGCTGGGCTGGCGTTGGGCAGGTTAGGCTGGGCGTTAGGCAGGCTAGGCTGTCATGCCTGGGCAGGCCAGGGCTGGGCCATGTCTGGGCAGGCCAGGCCGGGCCATGCCTGGGCAGGCCAGGCTGGGCCATGCCTGGGCAGGCCAGGGCTGGGCCATGCCAGGCAGGCCAGGCTGGGTCATGCCAGGCAGGCCAGGCCGGGGTCATGCCTGGGCAGGCCAGGCCGGGCCATGCCTGGGCAGCAGTCAGGTCAGGCTGCTGCGGCAGCAAGCCAGGTCAGTCATGCCTGGGCAGGCCAGGCCGGGGCTGCTGTGCCTGCAGGCCAGGCTGGGTTGGCGCCTGGGCAGGCTAGGGGTCAGTGCTGCCTGGGCAGGCCAGGCTGGGCTCAAGCCTGGGCAGGGCTCAGGCTGGGGCTGCTGCCTGGGCAGGCTAGGCTGGGCTACAGCCTGGGCAGGCTAGGCTGGGCCATGCCTGGGCAGGCTAGCTGGGCTAGGGTTTGGGCAGGTTAGGGTTAACAGCCTGGGCAGTAATAGGCTGGGCCATTTGGGCAGGTTAGGCTGGGCTGATGCTCTGGGCAGGCTAGGCTGGGGCTCAAGGGGTCTTGGGCAGGCTCACTGGGCCATGCTCTGGGCAGGCCAGGCTGGGCTGCCTGGGCAGGTCAGGGCTGGGCTATGCCTGGGCAGGCTAGGCTGGCTGCTGCCTGGGCAGGCTAGGTCAACATGCCTGGGCAGGCTGGCCAGGCTGCTGCCTGGGCAGGTTAGTCAACATGCCTCTGGGCAGGCCAGGTTGGGCTGCCTGGGCAGGTTAGGCTGGGTCATGCCTGGGCAGGCTAGGCTGGGTTGCCAGGCAGGTGGGGTTAGGCTGGGCCATGCTCTGGGCAGGCTGTGGTTGGGCTGCTGCCTGGGCAGGCTAGGCTGGGCCATGCTCTGGGCAGGCCAGGCTGGGCCATGCCTGGGCAGGCCAGGGTCATGTTGGGCAGGTTAGGCAGCTGTCTGAGATTAGGGTTGGCTATGTTTGGCAGGTTTGGTCACATGTTTGGTATAGGTTGGGCTATGTTTGGGCAGGTTAGGCTGGGCTATGTTTGGGCAGGTTAGGCTGGGCTATGCTTGGGCAGGTTAGCTGGGTTGATGCCTGGGCAGGTTAGGCTGGGTTGCTTGGGCAGGTTAGGTTGGGCTATGTTTGGGCAGGTTAGGTTGGGTTGGCGTTTGGGCAGGTTAGGCTGGGTTGCTGCCTGGGCAGGTTAGCTGGGTTGGCGTTTGGGCAGGCTAGGCTGGGTTATGCTTGGGCAGGTTAGGCTGGGTTGGCGTTAGGCAGGTTAGGGCTGGGTTGGCGTTTGGGCAGGTTAGGCTGGGCTAGTGCCTGGGCAGGCTCTAGGCTTGGGTTAAGGTTTGGGCAGGTTAGGTTGGGTTGCGTTTGGGCAGGTTAGGCTGGGTCATGTTAGGCAGGTTGTGGGCTGGGCCATGCTCTGGGCAGGTTAGGTTGCTGCTGCCTGGGCAGGCTAGGCTGGGTTGCTCTGGGCAGGTTAGGCTGGGTTGCTGCCTAGGAGGTTAGGCTGGGTCATGTTTGGGCAGGTTAGCTGGGCTATGCTCTGGGCAGGTTAGGTCATGCTCTGGGCAGGTTAGGTTGGCCAAGGTTTGGGCAGGTTGGCCAAGTTGGGCAGGTTAGGGTTGGGTTGCTGGTTTGGGAGCAGGTTAGGTTGGGTTGGCGTTTGGGCAGGTTAGGCTGGGTTGCTGCTTGGGCAGGCTAGGGCTGGGTTGCAGGGCAGGTTAGGTTGGGCTATGCTTGGGCAGGTTAGGCTGGGCTATGTTTGGGCAGGTTAGGCTGGGCCAAGTGTTTGGGCAGGTTAGGCTGGGTTATGTTAGGCAGGTTAGGCTGGGCTATGCTCTGGGCAGGTTAGGCTGGGCCATGCTTGGGCAGGCTAGGCTGGGCTATGCCTGGGCAGGTTAGGTTGGGTTGGCGTTTGGGCAGGTTAGGGGTTCATGTTGGGCAGGCTAGGCTGGGTTGGCGTTTGGGCAGGTTAGGCTGGGTTATGTTAGGCAGGTTAGGGCTGGGTTATGTTTGGGCAGGTTAGGTTGGGTTATGTTAGGGCAGGTTAGACAATTCAACTCGTTAAAATAAACCAAACGCTTGAATGATACAATTAGTCAGATTACGCGTGAAAGCGGATTATGATTTTAAATAAGAACACATTTATTTAATCACTCAAAAAATTATCTTTACAAAATTGTGTTGGAGAAAATATGACACAACTGACGGTAAGGATTTCCACAACCCTGGCCGAGACAACAGGAGTCACAGTGTTCATTCTGGAAATTCATTGATCTCCTGCTACAGATAGTGTTTTTAGGTGATGGTCTTTAGTCATATGAATCTATTCTATATACAATATGGGCCATGCATTAAGAACAAAAAGAGCTTACTATCGGCCAAAAAGCTTACCTAGACGCC